ACTATTCTCTTTTCCGACAGTACTTATCAAAGCCCTTCAAACCCAACTCTCGCCGACCCTACCAATCACCGACAATTGAGCGATTAGGGTTGGCGTAGCCGCTCGTCCCAAGTCAATTTTCAATCAATCCCAACAACCAAAATCCAATATTCCACTATCGAGAGACTCATCGACCTCCCTTCTTCAAAAGCCCCAACAGCTTGGACAAGTTTGCTCTTTGTTTGTTGTCTAAATATAAATTTAGATAATAAAGCGGTATTTTAAAAGTTTGTGGGTGGAAAAATGTCTTTAAGCCATTATTTTGGTGGAAAAAATTCGTTACTCATTTAAAATAATAATAATAATTAGATTATGAAAAAATGAAAGATAGTTTATTTAGTAAACTTGTTTTTATAATGGTACATATGATTTTTTAAAGTAATTTCACGTATGCTATTTTTGATAAAAAAAATTTATAATTTATAGTGAAAATTCGAAAAGATTTCAACATCAATCACAATCATGTCCTTAATACATGACGATACTAGTTAAGACTAGTTGTTGAAATAATTTAATATCATTTTTTATAACCGTTTGGGGTTTTATTATTTTGGGTAGAATTTTTGAAAAAGTTGAGTTAAGTGGTTATTACAATATAGATTTGAAAATTAACAAAAACACTTTTTAGGTTTGTTAATATAACTAAACACCCCTACAATAAAACATTAAAAATTAACAAAAACACTCCCACCTGCCCATTAAATGTTGGCAGTCGGCCACCACTGTTGGAGGGTAGCCGAAAGTCGCCATAATGGCTTACGATCGGCTGGATCTGACCGATCGTGCACCGATATGGACTGATCTAGCTGTTGATGGCCAAATCTGGCCACATTTGGTCATCAACGACGGCCAAAGATATGGTTGTCATTGACGACCAACTACGGCCAAAGATATGGCTTTTTCTAGCCAGATCCATAGTGGATCTAGTCGAAAAAGGCTAGATCGATGTACTACCTGCCATATCCAGTCAGTAGTGCGCCATTACACCAGATTCTGACCACCTTTCGATGGTGGTGGCCAGAATCTAGTAAATGTGGGTGGATGGGGGTGTTTTTGTCAATTTTTAAATTTTTTTTTTGTTGGGGGTGTTTAGTTAAATCAATAAACCTAGAGAGTTTAAAATAGTTGAATATAATATAATTGAATTTTCATAATAGGGAAAAAAAATATGTGGCTTCGTTTGGTTGGATTTTGGGAATACTACTTTTAGTATTCCCAAAAAAGTTAAACAGTAGAATACCAAAAAACTCACAATATTATTCAACTTTATTCAACATTTTTTAAACCCCCTAAATTTATTAATTCAATTAAATACCCCTAAATATTTTTAATGTTTTTGTTACGGTGACTCCGGCCACCCTCCGACGGTGGTGGCCGGCTGTCCGTATTTGAGGGTGGATTGGGGGTGTTTTTGTTAACTTTTAATGTTTTATTATAAGGGGTGTTTTGTAAAAAAACAAACATAGGGGGTATTTTATTAATTTATAAATCCTACATCGTAATACCCGCTCAATTCAACTTTTTTTTATCTTTTTTCAAAAAACTTTTCCCAAAAACACAAAATTGTGAACCAAACGGAGCCTGTATTTTTGGCAGGATTTCAAAAATCTTACTCAAAATAGATAAACAGACACACCCTTTTTAATATTCTATATTTTTAACTTGTCGTTATTCATTAGATTACTAGAACCCTAGAATTGGGAAGGGGTAAAATTTAATAAATAATATTCAAATATTCAAACATCGATAAAATTTAGTAAATATTAAAAAAAAAATACTTAAGGAAATGAATATAATATATATAATTTCAGTGTTATTAATTATTATATGAATAAATATATACAGATGTCATATTAGATCAAATAGTTAACTATATTTATATAATTCATTTACATATTTTAAAATTATAATATAAATTTTCTTTTTATTTTAATTTAAATTGAAATATAATATAGAGTTTTCAATATATGTTATAGATTATGTAATTTCATACTAAAAATCTTTATAAATTACAGATTGTTAGACCACCAAATATTCTGATTAGGCTTAAAAAATGGCATGTGCATCTACCACGGGATTGAGTTTATATCTTATTAAAATAAATAAATTATTTATTATAATCCTTGAAGCAATCGTAAGAAAATGGTTTTCTTGTTGGTTTGTTTGTTTAGTTCTTGTACTCTATTCCTTGCTCTTTCATTCACCATTTGACACAAGTACAAAATCGTAAAGAAAAAGAAAAAGGAACTACGTATTTATTGGTCTTTATATATATGGTACACATGTCATATGGAGAGTGAGAAAGTTCAAAAGAGAGTGTTACTAACACTCCTCTTATTTGAATTTTCGAAAAAATCTTTGTCTAGAATCGGGCTGCTAGACAAGTCGAGCAGCTCATGAGCCGGCTTGACTCGACTCATCTGAAGCTCGTTTAGGGCTTGACTCGACGGTTGTCGAGTCAACTCGACTCGAACTCGGTTTATAAACTGAGTTGAGTTCGACCATAGGGGGACTTGGCTCATAGGCTTGCAAGCCTGGGGTGGCTCGCATAAGTAGGGTGCTTTTGTGAGTTTTATAAATCATGTGGGACTGAACTGTTATATTGCAGTTCAAAAAAAAAAAAAAATGACATTTACTCCCCTAAGTGCAAAATAGTTAAATGACATTTACCCCCAAATCAATTCCCCTCAATTCATAAAACTCTCACAAAAACGAACCCTAAACCCAAACCAAATATGTCTATTGTGAAATCACAAACTCTAAACTGTGTTCTTGCCATCGCCGATCGAAAAAACACTTGGAGGAATGACAACTTCATCCCCCAAAGCTTGAAACCAGGTTTTCTCCCTCAAATCGACCCTAACCCCTAAACCCCCAAATCGGGAAATCTGTCCACCGTGAAAGTAACAACCTTCATCCTGTGTTCTTGCGGTCATCGGTTGGAAATCGTCGTGGAGGAAGCACGACTTCATCCCCCACAGAGCAAAACCCATTTCGTCTCCCCCAAAAATGATCACAATGCTTCTATGAATTCGTTGGCTCGTGAGCCAGCTCGAACTCGATCGAGCTCGAGTTCAAGTCCCTTTTCTCTGACTCGACAAGCTCGATCCTGTAGCAACCGAGCCGAGCTCAATCTTGTAGCAACCGAGCTGAGCCCTAGACTCTGGAATATGGTTGTGTAAAAATGTTGCATAACAACTGTCATTGAAAAATAAAATAAAAATAAAAATAAGAAGATTAAAATTTTTAGATTTTAATTAGTTGAGGGTGGAAATGTAATTCGAGTGGTTTGTCATTTTACCCGACATTGTCCTCTCTTACAAAAACTATTGGGTTCGTCACCGATTCTTATCTCAATGACATATAATTACATGTAGTATGACCTTTCAAGGTTAGATCTAGCAGCAGGGAACTCGCCCAGCCTTGACAATGTCCCAAGTTTAAGTCTCTACCACAGCGAGACATTGCTAAGGTTGAATGATTTCGCTGTCACTAGGTCAAACATTAGGTTTTGGCTATTAGGGTTAGATTTAGGTTTATTTGATCACAGGGTAAGCGGTGGCGACAGATGATGCGGGTCGTGATTGGGTATATAGTGGGATTGGTGGGAAAAAAGACAGTTTTGGTGGAAGCAATGAGCGAAGAATGATTGAGAGCGATGGCGGAGCAGTGAATGATTGATTATAATCTTTAATTTTCTAATATTTTAATTTTTAATTTTTATGGATTCATATTCATATTCGGGTTTGTTTCGCTGAAACTCACGATTCTAATATTTTAATTTTTAATTTTTGTGGATTCATATTCGGGTTTGTTTCGCTAAAACTCACAATAATGACAAACAGCAGGGGATTTTACGTAATTCCTAATGCCTGAGGGGGTTTTCGATGTTTGACCAAACCTTCAGGTTTGAAAAGAATCATGTATATAGAATCTGAGAGCATCTCCAACAAAAAATCTTTATATGATCCAAACTCTTTATTATAAAGAGTTTATTCATAAAAACAAAAATTTTATAGACTTTTTTATCTTTAAAATATAAATTAGAGAGTGGGTTTAACTTTCCACATTTAGAGAGTCAAATTTCACTCTCTATTCTAATTTTAATTAATAAACTACAAATTATTATGCATTTTATTTATTAATTCTCTCTCATTAAGTCACTTTCTTAAAAATAAAGAGTATCTTCATTAAATTTAGAGTTTATTAGATTTGAATAAAAATTATGTTCTTTATATTTTAAAATTAATAAAGATACTCTTTATTTATATGAAAGATGCTCTTCAAAATAAAGAACACATTAGAGATGCTCTTAAAACATCTTCAAAAACCTTTTATATGACCCAAACTCTTTATTATAAAAAATCTATCCATAAAAACAAGAGTTCAACACTCTTTATCTTTATAATATAAATTAGAGAGTAAAATTTGACTCTTATCCTAATTTTAATTAATAAATTATAAGTTTTTATATATTTTATTTATTAATTTTCTCTCTCATTAAATCTCTTTCTTAAAAATATAGAGTTTTTTATTAAATTTAAAAAATTAATTAAATTTAAATAAAAATTATATTTTTTATATTTAAAAATTAATAAAAATACTATTGATAGGATACTCTTCGAAATAAATACCGCCATCAGATATGCCATGCACATAAAAAAGAAATCTAAAATTTATAGGGATCTTTAAACCTCACCTCCTCAGACTCCTCAGGTACCAGTAATGTTGCAAAACACTCCTCATGTTTGACCGAAAGCCTTTGTTGCTCGCCGACTACTTTTAGGCAAGCAACGTGGGGGTTCCCTGTTGCTCGCCCAAGTGAGGACCACTGGCCCCTGGCTCGCCCAATCTCTATATGAATTTAATTTCAGGTTCCAAATAAGAGTAAAGCATAAATTCACGAAAAAACTCTTATAATGTTACGCGAGAGATACAGAGTGGATTCTGAAGACAACATATCAGTTAAGAGAAATTCCTATAAACAAAACACAAGGGGACGATAGCCCCATATTTTTACAATTCAACCAACTCAAAACATCAAAAAATTACATCAACTTTAAAAAGAGAACACTATTATTTCTTCACTTCAAAAGACACAACCACAAAATGCTCTCTCTCAAACGCCTTTCAAAACTCTGCATGTTTTTAGTCCTCAACCATCTCCTCATCATCTTCAATCTCCTCAATCTTCATCTTCTTCACTGCCTGAGCAGCATCACTTCTCGGTCCATTCGGGATTTGGATCAATACATCAGATTTTTGTCCAGTGGCTGCATTGACGAATCCTCCGTTTTTATCCACCTGGTACACCAAATCATCCCCATGTGGGCCTGCATCAATGTATACCGTCGAGTTCTCATCAATCTCCTCCCTCAGTAGCATTCTTGATAGCTCCGTCACCACCTTCTTTTCAAGCCATCTCCTGATAGGCCTAGCACCATAAACCTGAGACAAGAAATCACATTGTAAGTTTTTATGGAGACCTAAGTAAACAAGAAAGAAAAACGAATACCTGTATATTACACTTACTGGATCATAGCTCTCGGCCAATACAATATCCAATGCAGCATCCGTAACAGCCAAAGCTACACCCCTTTCGGCAAGGCGGATCGCGACATCCTTCATTTGGAGCCTAGCAACTTTCCTCAATTGGTCATGAGAGAGAGGATCAAAAACTACAATTTCGTCGAGCCGATTCAGAAGCTCTGGCCTGAAATGCTTCCTCACCTGTTGAACAACATATATTTATTTCAGTACTTGAACCTCCCGAAGGAAATAAAAAACAGAAAACAAAAGACAGGAATATATATTTTGCAGAAGTAAACAAGTGTAGGCCGTTTAGTTTACCTCTTGCATAACTCGATCGCGGGCAACTTGCATTGACACCTTGCCCATTAGTCCCGATAAGAGGTGCTCAGCTCCCAGGTTTGAAGTCATGATGATCACTGTATTTCGGAAATCAACAGTGCGGCCTTGACCATCTGTTAATCTTCCATCATCCAGAACTTGAAGAAGAGTATTAAACACAGCTATGTGCGCTTTCTCCACTTCATCAAACAGTACAACACTATAAGGCCTCCGCCTCACAGCTTCTGTAAGTTGTCCGCCTTCTTCATGTCCGACATACCTGAAACATATAAGAATGTGTGAGATGCTGATATTGTGACACCGAAATTATAGAAATTATAGATATGAACCGTAGGCTAAATGCAAATAAGCACTTACCCAGGTGGCGCACCAATTAGCCGTGATACAGAGTGCTGTTCCATGTACTCTGACATGTCGATTCTCACCAGAAGGTTTTCGTCATCAAAGAGTTGCTCGGCAAGCGCCTTAGCAAGCTCAGTTTTACCAACACCAGTTGGACCCAAGAAGAGGAATGAGCCAGTAGGTTGTTGTGGCCTACCAAGTCCTGCCCTTGACCTCAACACAGCCTCAGCAACCGCATTAACTGCATCATCTTGTCCGACCACTCTCTTGTGCAACCTCTCAGCTAGCCCAATTAACCTCTCTTTATCATTCTGGCCAAGCCTTGTAACAGGAATGCCAGTCCAGCGGCTCACCACCTCAGCGATGTGTTCTGGTCCAACAGTCTCAGTCAGCATTACGTTTTCATCTGTGTTTCCATTAGTGTTTCCTTCAAGCTGTGCTATGGCAGATTCCACTTCTTGAATTGCCCCATATCTCAAATCAGCAGCTCTGGCCAAATCATATCTTCTTTCAGCCTCTTGCAGTGCAAAGAGGAGCTCTTCCTTCTTTTGCTTAAGCCGCCTTATCTCATCAATCCTTTCCTTCTCTTTTCTATACTTCATCATTAGTGGTTGAAGCTTGTCCCTCAGATCATCAAGTTCTTTCCGGACCTGAAAAAGTAACAGGTAGTTAGATACCACATCAAAAGAGAGTGGTTAATAAAAAAAATTGCAACTTTTTTCCATGTATTCTTTCAATTCAAATACTTACTTCAACAAGACGGGCTTTGCTAGCTTTATCTTTCTCCTTTTCTAGAGCATGAAGTTCAACTTCCAATTGCATTCTCTTCCTCTCAAGATTGTCTATTTCCTCAGGTTGACTATCAAGCTGCACCCTCACATTGGCACAGGCTTCATCAACCAAATCAATTGCTTTATCAGGGAGATGACGTCCTGGATTCAAAAGACATTATATGTTAGCATAACCAACATTTCATATTAAGAAAAGAAAAACTGAATAACTATCACAGAATCAGTATAAGTCAAAGAGAATTTGACATACCAGTAATGTAACGAGCTGATAGCTGTGCGGCAACAACAAGAGCACGATCCTGAATGCGGACACCATGGTGACCCTCATACCTTTCTTTCAATCCTCTAAGGATGCTAATAGTATCAGGGACACTAGGCTCGGCCACATAAACTTGTTGAAACCTTCTCTCAAACGCAGCATCTTTCTCCACATACTTCCTATACTCCTCAAGTGTGGTAGCACCAATGCACCGAAGCTGGCCTCTTGCAAGCATGGGCTTGAAGAGGTTAGCAGCATCCATTGATCCCTCAGTTCGACCAGCTCCAAGTACAAGGTGAATTTCATCAATAAACAAAATCACTTTGCCCGCAGCTTCCTCCACCTCTTTCAAGACAGCTTTCAACCTCTCCTCAAATTCTCCCCTGTACTTTGCACCCGCAACCAGAGCACCCATATCCAACGCAATAAGCCTCACATCAGCAAGATTACTAGGAACATCTCCTCGTACAATTCTCTGAGCTAACCCTTCGACCACAGCAGTTTTACCAACTCCAGGCTCTCCAATGAGGACCGGATTGTTCTTAGTCCTCCTTGAGAGGATTCTAACGACCCTCCTAATTTCTTCATCTCGGCCAATGACTGGATCAAGCTTTCCTGCTTGTTCAACAAGGTCTCTCCCATAAGTCTTCAAAGCTTGAAATGTAGTGTCCCCAGAAGCACTCTCCACCTTCTTGCCTTCCTTCCCACGAAGTTTCTCCACCTCAGATTTCACTCTTGCCGTGGCAACCCCAGCTTCCTTTAACAAGTCTCCAATCTGAGAATCCTCCAGAAGTCCTAGAATTAACTGATCAACAGCAAGATGGGTGTCACCACGAGACTTTTGTGCTGCTTGGGCCCGTCTAATTACTTTGATAAGAGTAGTACTGGCCGGAATTTCATCAGGCGGTGGGGTTTGAGAAGGGAGTTTCTTCATGGCTTGATTGAACACTCTTCCTGCAGACTGAGCAGCATTTTCACCGCCAGCGTTGCTAATCGCTTGAGAGAAAATGCCACTGGGTTCAGATAATAAAGCGACTGCAAGGTGAAGAGGAGTGAACTGTGCATGACCAGCACTCATTGCTAGTTCATGCGCCCCGGCAATGGCTTCATTTGTCTTGTGGGTGAACTTATCAGGATTCATTGGCTCTTCTTCTAAAGTATCTACAAATACTGCAACAAAAATACAAAGAACATTAGAACAATAATCTCAACAGAGTGAGAATGTCATCATACATTTATGAAAATAACCATTTCTACAAGCTAGATCAAATCATATTAACCTTTGCAAAGAAACAACAGCGCCAATACAATTAAGTTTCTTTCAAACCAAAATAATTTTCAGACCAAAACAAGTTCAAAGAAAAGAGTATTCCAGTGATGATTATAACATCAGCCAGTCATTCAATAACCTTATGCAAATTTTAACAGAAAATAAAAAGATTTTGTCAAAGGAAAAAGAAAAAACTTCCCAAACAGACCAAAATTTATAAAAATTCATTCAATACAAACAAAATGTAACCGTTTTCAACTAATGAACGAACGCCATTCATCAATTACACATACCACAAAAAAAAAAAAAAAAAAAAAAAAAAAAGTCCTCCCAGTACGCTATCTTCAAGAACAACCAACATTGAACAAATACCATGAAACAGAGGATCAGAAACTTCATAAACTATAAATATAATAACGCACAGAAAATCAAACACAAAACTAAAAGAAGAAGAAGAAGAAGAAGAAAACACAGAAACAGAGATGACTCAAAATCTTTAACCTGATTTTTGCATGTTGATATAACACTACAACAAAAACCAAAACGTTCATAAGAGAAGAAGAAGAGGAGACTTTTTCATCATACCTTAAGCGTGAAACTTTCTTTGAAACGCAGTTAGTTAGACACAAGAAAGGTTGATTTCTTTGTTTCTTTCTTTGGTTGGTTTCTATAACGAGCGTTGAGTGAGTACGGTTTCTCTCTTCGGAATTGTGTGTTTTCTGATTGTGAGAAGAGGGAACAAGAGACGGTTTTTGTTAAGGGAGGAGGACTTCTAGAACAACGTCGAAGATTTTGGTAGAACCCACTGGACCTTTTCTTTTTAATTTTTGTGAGTCAATCTGCTGGAATTAACTAGAAAAAAAATAAACACCGGTCCGCCACACAAGCCTCTGTGGGCCCACTTGCTTGCCACGTCAGAGATTCTGTTTTAACAATATTAATTTTAAAAATGTTTGAATATATATAGATATTAGTACAAAAATATATTTAGGAATAATATTTGGTAGTTGAATAAGAGAGTATTACGAAGTAAAATTTAAAAATTTATAAAAAAGCTTATAGGTTTACTAATTTAATTAAACACTCCAACATATAAAATAACAAAAATACCTCCACCACCTGCAGTGCTAGATTCTGGCCACCACTGTTGGAATCTGATCGAAAAATCGCGTTACGACACAGACCGATCGGATCTGTGTCGTAACGCATCGTTATGGCCTTTTCCGACCAGATCCACCACAGATCTGACCGAAAAAAGCAGAATCTACGGCCTGCTATGGCCGTCGATGACCGAAAAAGGCCAAAACAATGGCCAGATCTTGAATTATTAGTCAGTTCCGATCTGTAATCAATTTGGCAAGTATGGGTCATGGGAGTATTTTTGTTAATTTTTAAACTTTTTTTCAGGGGTATTTAATAAAATTAATAACCTTATAGGGTCTAAAAGTAATTAAAAAAAACAAGGTAATATTTATGGAGAACAGGATTGAGAATATGGACAGAATAATAATCCAAACATGCCCCAAATGTATATGTTAAATTTCTTTTATATAGTATTCTCTAATTAAAATTGGCTTAATCATTTCAGTGAGATAAGGTGTATTTAAAAATAGTTTTGAGATCATTTAAATAAAATGTATTGTATCAATAAAAAATTATATTTACATTTTAGATTAAATAAATCATCACATTTTGACTTGGCATCCTATGACATGTTCACATGCGAAAATGGGAAGCAAATATGTGATATTAATTCACATATCATTTAGACATGGTGTTATGATAAGTTATAATTTTTTTTTTTTTAGTAATCAGGGTGTCTGAACTAGCTTGTTTACACCTTAATTAATCTCTTCCTAACTATGCTTAGATATGAGGGTCAGCTTACGTGCACCTCAACTAAGATATAATTTTTCTTTGATAACTAGGGTGTTCGGGCGAGCTTACGTGCACCACAACTTTTTTTTGGAGTCTATTAAACATCTTACAAGCCCAAAGGACCATGTAAACCACAATATTATTGTGGTAGGTAACCTCAATGTTTGAACCCAAGAACTTAAGGAATGGAGCAAACCTCTTTAACCACCAGGCCAACCCTTTAAGGTTAAGATATGATTTTCTTTGCTTTATTATTGATATTGTATCATTATTTGTAATATTTTACATCCTTACATAGCTATCACACTTTTTTATAAATAGGTTGTGTATTCACAAGTCACAACTCAATACAGTTAAATTGATTTTTTCTCAGATATCTCTTGGGCATACACTGATCATTTCAGTTGTCTCTCTTGCCCTCTCAAAGATGTCTCTCAGACATACTCCGATTCTCTTCAATTATCTCTCTTGTCCTCTCAATTTTAATATGGTATCAGAGTTCCTTTCTCAATTCTAACATGATGAACGTGTATATATTACACAAAATTGAAAGCTAAAACAAAGAGTTAATTGTCTTAAAAACATTCCTTTGAATTGTATAAAATTTTCTCCATTGATATTACTATATAATGTAAATTAACTTGAATCATATGTTCAAAAATGTATCACAAATTCATTGATGATGGTTACCTCAAAATGCATGATTCCTATATGTGGAATGAATGATTTTGAGAAAAAAAAATATATATATATATATATATTATATAAATTAACATAACCTCCATAGAACAAATATTCTTTGTCTAATTAAATAAATAATAAAAAAATATTAATTTGTAAGTTACTTTTTAGTCACATTATTTTTATTTATCTTATACTATACTTAAAGGATAATTTTCATAATATTATATGATATAAAGTTATTTAATATATTAAGCTACCGACTAGACTACCACGTGCAGCCTCGATTTGCTGCTATTTCCACGTGGATTTTCATCTTTTACCTAAATAATACTATTATTATCAATGACATTATAAAATCATATCTAAAACTTAAATAATATGACTTTAATTATCCTTTACATTCTTTGTTTAAATCATGTTAGGTTTATTGACATTAAAATGAATAAATCTTAAATACTATAAAATGAATCAGGACTTTCCAATTTAATACTTCTTGATGGCAAATATGTTAGGAAAATTTCTTAATTGTAGATTAACATTAATTATATGTTAGTTCTGATTAAAACCATTAAGAAAATTTCATAATTGTAGATTAACATTAATTATATGTTAGTTCTGATTAAAACCATTAAGAAATTTTTTTAATTGTAGGTTAACATCAATTATATGTTAGTTCTGATTAAAACCATGTAAATTGATATTGATATATTAATGAGTTTCATGTGGTCATATTAAAGTTTAACTCATTATACTTTATTTGATTATATTATTTTAAAAATTATCTTTTTCACACATTGGCTAGAAATTTCTAGTAAGCCGACAGGCCAGCTTAACCCTTAGGTAGGTGAGGCCCTATCTAGGGCCCACAAAAAAGGGTAAAAAAAAGGTTTAAAATTATTTTTAAAAGTATTTTTTACTATATTTATAATTTTTCAATTTTCATGAGCTCACCATGTACTCGTCTATGTCTATCTCTACTCAAAATTATTTTTTTTAAAAGTTTTTTAATATATTTATAATTTCTCAATTCTCATCCATCCCACCATATGTCCAATCAATAATGTCTATCTCTAAGCATGAAACACAATTGGCGGCTCATTTTTCCGTTGAAAATTGAAACACCTTCACGTAACTCTTCAACTCTCAAATGTCAAATCACATCTCCTCTCTCCCCCAAATTCTAATGATAATCTCTTATATAAACCTCATTTCACTTGAAGTTTCCTCATCTTTTACTTGTATTATTCTCAACTCAGTTTACTCTTTTGTCTCTCCTTTCTCATCTCTATTACGTAAATTTATCAAGTGAATGTGATTTACATTATTATTTTTATGTAAGGTAATATTAAGAGATTTAAATCATTTTACTCTTAGCATTCTCAACTTATTTTACTTTATATTTCATCAAGTGAATAAGTGATTTACATTATTATTTTTATGTAGGGTAATAATATAAGATTTTTTAGTATCAGCACAACAAAAAGCAAAACCAGGAGCATAAATCAGGTGCTAAAGTCCCTTCTTAATTTTTATAATTATTTTTATTTTAGCAAAATAATATTAAGAGCTCTAAATTATTTATTCTTTGAATATAGATGTATACTAGGAAGTGTGAATCTGGATTTAAAAAATGTAAAAAAAAAAAAAAAAGAATAGAAGAACTAATTCAATCCCAAAAAGGTGCACTTGATAAATTTGTTATAAATACAAAACACCAAATGCTAGAAAAACCAAATGAAGACTTAAATGAAAAATCAATTGAAAATTGTGAAGAAATTTTTAAAGATAACAATTCAAATTCATCAAATACTAGTAAAGAGTATCATAAAAATTTAGAAAAAAAAATTTCATTTGACAAAAATAAAAATATGAATGATAAAGATGAAACAACTATTAAAAATATTTATGATCCGGTACAATAGAATAATTTAGACACAAACTTATGTGATTTATTAGTTGAGAAAGGTCTAATTAGACAAGTTTTAGATTTTCCAAGAGATGGAAATTCTAGACATTTTTTCTACAATTCATTACATTCGAAAATTACCAAATGGAGAAAAACATGATAGAAAATAACTAGTATATTCAAAAGAATTAAATAAAGTATTTTGTTTTTGTTGTAAATTATTTAGTTTAAAAGCAAATACAATTCAATTAGCAAATGAAGGGTGTGACGATTGGAAAAATCTTAGTGCCAAGCTTAAAAGTCATGAAACAAGCAATGAACATGCTATAAATATGAACATTTGGGTTGATGTTGAGATGAGATTTGCTTAAAAACAAAACAATTGATAAATATTTACAAGAGAAAATAAATAAAAAGAAAGAGCATTG